CACTTAGGTGTTATCTACTTGTTATGTGCTGTTGAGTGGGTTCTGTCTCAAGGCAATCCTGTATAGGGTTTCTGAGGCTATAAATTTGTATAGACGCAGAAATCCTTTCTCCTGTGGAGCAGTTGGTGGGTTTGAACTACCGAACATGTGGTTAGCAGTTCAGTGCTTATCCTACAGTGCCACCAGCACTGTTAACCATCTATCACTGCCAAATCTCTGCTTCCGGATATCCCGCCTTTGCCTCCCCTGGCTTTCTTTTAGCAAATTATGATTCTGTAACAAAAATGTATTTTTTTCTTCATTGTCCAACAGAGAGGCCATTTTTAGTCTATGAATTTGACAGTTTTCCTGGTCCAAGTGGTTTCTATCCCTCAATAAACCACTGTTGCTTTTACTTTAAGCAGATTCTGTGATGATGCTCTAGGACAATACTCCTCCCGAGACCAGCATCTGACATTTGGTTGCTGTTGTTAGTTGTCATTAAGTCTACCAGTCTCCATGTGTGCACAGTAGAACTGCTGCATAGGATTTCCAAGGCTGTGACCTTTTAGAAGCAGATTACCAGGACTGTTTTGCAAAGCATCTCTAGGTGTGTTTGAACAACTCTTTCAGTTAGTAATCAAGCACTTAACTGTGTCACCCAGGAAGTCCTGTTGGCACATGGTTACTGAAGTAAACATAATGTTATGTTGTTCAAAACAGAAACCAAACCCACTGCCATTGAGTCCATTCTGACTCCTAGTGACTCTTAACAGAGTTTCTGAGACTGTCCATCTTTCTGGAAACAGCGCCATCTTTCTCCTGTGTAGCGGCTGGGTTTTGCCCACAGACCTTTTGGTTGGCAGCCCAATGCCTAATCCACAGTGCCACCAGGGTTCCTCTATTGTGTTAGGTGCTATCAAGTTGATTCTGATTCATTTACTTGTCCATCAGCAGAAGAATGGTTAAACATACTTTGGTACATACACACAATGGAATTACAATAAACATGAGAAGCACCTCACAACCTTAGATTAACCTAGAGGACATTATGCTGAGTGAAATTGTAACAATGTGACAGAATAGAACTGCCCCATAGGATTTCCTTCCTGGCTGGGTTTGAAACACCAACTTTTCTATTATCCATCAAGTGCTTAATAATTCATTGTATCACTAGAGTTTCTATAAGAGTAGTATTTAGCATTTGCTGAGTGACTGATGTATTCATCACTTTATATACCTCATTTCATTCAAACTGGCACAATGTCCACAGCTGATAAGGAAATTGACTCTGGCAAAATTAAGTAAATTTCCCAAGGTCACAGAGCCACCAAAGCAGAGGAGCTCAAATCCAAACTCAGTTCTCACTAACTCCCCAATTCATGCTTTCTACCCAACTGTGCTGCCCCCTTTATGGTCTATTTCTAAGGACAGCTGAGGGTGACTCTCTATCAACACATGGACCTGGCCTCTCACCTGAACTTAGAACCCACAGCCTACTGGATGTCTTCTGGAAAATGTCCTCTTCTGCCCTATCTCTACAGTTCAATACATTCATCACCCAACTCCCCACCTTTCCCACAAAACTCAGATCTCCTTTGACAAGACTCACTTTCTGTCCGTGCTATTATTACTTGCCCCAGCTGCTGGACTGAAAACTTAAAGCCAAAATTCCTAAACATGGCTTTAAATATCCACCAAGATCCAACTCTTGCCTATATTATTTGCACCCGCTGTCTGCCTCACTCTAGACAACGGTCTCCTTTCCATTCTTGCCAAGGTCCTACCCCCAAACCTTCACACATGCTGTCCCCCATGCCTCTTCCTGTGTATCCGGCCCTTCCTCTTTCCTTGGGTAATTCTACTCATCCTTCAGAACAAGTGTGACTTGTTCAGGAATACTTTTGCAGATCCTTCGATCTTGCTCTTCTCTCAGGCACATACCACAACTACAATTAGTGACTGGATGTGCTTCTACCCGGCTAAAAGCAAGGATAAGGTAGGGGCTGAGTCATGCAAAAATGCATCCTGTACTTCACATAAAGTTGTTAAGTGCCATCAAGTCGGTTCCGATTTGATTCACAGTGACCTTGTATAGGGTTTCTGAGGAACAGCTGGTAGATTTGAACTGCCAACCTTGTGGTTTCAAAGTCCAGTGCTGATCCTATAGCACCACACCAGGAGCCCACACATAGTAGGTGCTCAGTAAATATCTGTTCATCTTCTCCAATATCTGATGAGTCAGCTGGCTTTGTAGACTCCACCTTAATGTCTGTTTGGTCCCCTAGAATGTAGGTTCTGTGAGGACAAGCATTTTTGTTTTATTCATTGTTGTTTCCCTGGTACCCAAATATCCATTCAATGAATATACCTGTCACTCCCTTTCTATTTCTAATGCACATGCTCACCACATCTCAGCAGGACACCTTAGGTGCCAGAAGGTTCTTCAAGCCATAGAGCTGAGATGCTGAGCCGACCGCAGAAAGACACAGCAGATCTCATCTCATCTTATAACATTTGGATTTTTTCACAGAGGGGTTTGGAGCCTGCAACACTGTGAGACTGTATCATCATGTGGTGGCGCTGTGGGTTAGCAGTTTGAACTGCAAGGTCGGTGGTTCAAACTCACCAGCTGCTCCTCGGAAACCCTACACAGGGCCACTATGAGTCAGAATGGACTCGACACCACATAACAACAGCAACAATCATCATGTTGTTTCCTTCTAACTAAGATCCTTTATAAAATACATAATTCAACACCTTCTAAGAGGCTACATTTTATAAGTTTCTTGGGTAAAGGCTAGAATCAAGTGACTCTTGAAAAAATGCCAGAGGAAGGCAGTGGGGGTGGAAGGGCATGGACTTTGGAGGCATGCCCAGGAACTGTTTACTAGCTGCACAGCCTCGGGTAGTCATTCCTTTTCTCCAATAGGAATAAAATTGCTTACTTTGTAATGTTGGGAGGTTTAGAAATATTTGCAAGTGTTTAACCGACTCCACGGCATACCACCACCACAACAACAATAAATGGGAATTCTTTCCACAACCTTTTATCCTACCAGCTAGTACACACAGACACAGACAGAGGTGGTATGTAGCTAACTGTTCAGGACCTCTAAAGGAGATAAACAAGTCCAGAACCAACAAGTTTCAATCATTTAAAAATACCCATAGCCCAAGCTGGGAACAGACATATGAGTAGCCCAACACCGACTTATCGACCAACCGTGACCAATCAGCTTCTAACAAAAGCAGACTCATTTTCATCCAGGAGAGGACGGTAGCACTCTGACCAGTGCCTCTATTGCTGGGTTGGCTTCTCAGAATTCCCCAGGCCCTACCAAAGGTAATACACGCCTTTGGCAGGTGAACACTAGCCTCAGCTGGCTTTGTCCTTTGTGCTAGTGCCACCTAGCGAGGACCCGGAGGCACTGCGGCCTACTTCCGGCAGCAGCCAGCACCACTGCGACTGTCTCCGCAAAGGTCCGCCGTTAAGGGTTAAGTTGGATAATGGGTTCTGCCTGAATTTATCTCCTTCCATCTGCTGCCTCTGGTAACGTAGTAGTTACGAATCGGGCTGCGAACCTTAAGGTCAGCGGTTTGAAACTACCAGCCGCACCGCAGGAGAAAGATGAGGCTTTCTACTCCCGTAAGGATTTACACCCTCGGAAACCCTGTACACGGTCGCTATGGGTCGGAACCGACTCGACGGCACTTAACAACAACAACATCTGCTGCCAGGTTAATGGTTTAAGACTAGCTTCCATGACTCTGTATAGGA